ATGGAGAGTTAAGAAAAAATAACTTTGAAAGAGTAAGGAATAATGGGGAAAAGGCCAGGAATTCTATGTGCAGTATTCCCCTAGCTCTGGAGTTCTGTCATTCTCACTGATCGGTAAACTTGGTCTTGGCTGGATGTTCTTGCTGATCTTCCAGGGGAGGGGCCTGTTGCCTTGGTTCCCAAATGTCTTTCCCGGAGATGGAATTGCCCCGCCCTTGCCGGTCTGATCTAAGTAACCAGCTCGGCTTTACTCTTGGTAGTTTTTGTTCCCTGCAAGCTTTCTGTACAGCTTTGGAGGACAAGAGTGAAAATGGCGGCCTCCCATTCTCTGCCCTGGAGGAGCCGAGAGCTCGGGACCCCACTCCCCAGTTCACCCCCAGAGAAAAGCAGTCAGTCACTCCCGTCTCCCGGTCTCCGGCCACACTCCGTGCTCACCCGGCCTGTGACTGAGCGTTTCTTTTTTTATTGTTATGTTAATCACCATACATTACATCATTAGTTTTTGATGTAGTGTTCCATGATTCATTGTTTGTTCATAACACCCAGTGCTCCATGCAGAACGTGCCCTCTTTAATACCCATTACCAGGCTAACCCATCCCCCCACCCCCTCCCCTCTGGAACCCTCAGTTTGTTTTTCAGAGTCCATCGTCTCTCATGGTTCGTCTCCCCCTCCGATTTCCCCCTCTTCATTCTTCCCCTCCTGCTATCTTTTTTTTTTTTAACATATATTGTATTATTTGTTTCAGAGGTACAGATCTGTGATTCAACAGTCTTGCACAATTCACAGCCCTCACCATAGCACATACCCTCCCCAATGTCTATCACCCAGCTACCCCATCCCTCCCACCCCACCCCCCACTCCAGCAACCCTCAGTTTGTTTCCTGGGATTAAGAATTCCTCATATCAGTGAGTGACCGAGCGTTTCTATCTCTGGCAGCCAACTTGGTGTGGAGTCTCCAAACCCAGCAGATCCCTGCGGTGCACTCCTGCACCACTCTTCCCGGGGGAGGAAGGGGAATCTCCCCGGACCTGCTGTTTCTTGGGTCCCTGCTGGAGGAGCAGTGTTCTGACTGTGCCGGGGATCACGATCTATGGCCCCCTCAAGTTGAGAGCCCGTGCTTCGGCTCTGTCTGTGCAGCCGGCTTCCCCGCTCCGATACCTGGGAGCTATTATGCACTCAGGCACCCCTGGTTTTCCTGTGACCCCGAGTGTCCTGAGACCACACTGTTGCAGCGAGGGTCCCACCCCTCGCTTAGGCACTGGAGCGACGTCCCTCAGCGGAGCCGACTTCTAAAAGTTCCGATTTTGTGCTCCACTGCTCTATCACTTGCCAGAAGCGGCGGACGGAGGCCCCCTCCCCCGCCCTTTATCCTCCGGAATATCGCCTTGGATTCACTTCTCTGCACGTCCTACCTTCCATTAAGTGGTCGCTTTTCTGTTTAGAGAGTTGTTGCTATTCTTTTCTTTGATCTCCTGTTGAGTTCGTAGGTGTTCAGAATGGTTTGATCCCTATCTAGCTGAATTCCTGGGACGAGACGAAATTTAGGTGTCTTACTCCTCTGCCATCTTCCTCCTCCGCTCCTAGAAATCTTCTGTGGTGCCTTTAGTATTTTCTCTCTCTTTGTTGAAATTGTCACTTTGGTCATGCGTTGCTCGTATGATCTTGGTGAATATCTTTGTAATTGTTATTTTGAACTCTCTATCAGATAAATAACTTATTTCCATTTTCATGAGATCAGTTTCTGGAGATTTACCTTTTTCTTTTGTTTGGAACATATTCCTGCCTTTTCATTTTCTTTGATTCTCTGTGTTGGTTTCTGTCTATTAGCTAAAAAGCCACCTCTCTCAAGCCTTGAGACTGGTCCTGTTTAGGAGATGAATCTCATCAATCAGTCTGGCCTGAGCTCCAGGTTCCCTCAAATCTTTATGATTTTCTTTGTATGGTTGAGGGTGTGGCAAGATCCATCAATGGCCCCATGGGAATGATAGCAGTTAGCACCTAGATGCATGTTGATTAGAAGGTGGACCTTCTAATATAAGGGAACAGCTGGGAAAAGTATGGAGTCAAACTCCTTCTGGGGAAAAAGGGAGAGACAGGTGTTTCTGCCTTCTCCTTCTGCTTGGATGTATAGCCATGGAGTTTTCTCCTGAGCCTGTTTAAAAACTGCTTCTTTGTTTGGTATAGCCCTGTGGGACTTGTGAATGCAAAACCCATTGGCTGTCAGAGTCAAGTGATCTGGGGGCCCATCCTTTGGGCACTAGGTACAAAAGCTAGTGTGCCAGACATGTATAGAAGATCTTTCCAGAGAGGCACTGCTGACCTCGTATTGTTGGAGTGTGACCCACCAGCTCTTTTGGGTTCCAAGTGAGATTGCAGTTAGCACCTAGATATATGTTAATTCCAGTGCTGGCTTCGGCAGCACATATACCAAAATTAGAGTCCAAATCCTTAGGTAGCAGCTTGTAAAGTATGCAGGAAGACCCTTTTCAGGGAAAGGCTAGGAGATGGATGGTTTTGCCTGATCCCTCTGTGCTGATCCCTGGGAAGATAGCTGTGGTTAGTGCTCCTGTGCCTGTCAGCAACTTCTTTTTCTGTTTGTTGTAGTCTGATGGGACTTGTGAATGTAAGGTCTGTTGGGTCTCAGAGCTAGGTGCTTTGGGGGACTGCCGCCCAGGTGGGAGCCTTAAAAGTTGGGACTCCAGATGTGTGGTCCAAACCCTTCACTCCTTGGGGAGAAGCTGGGAGTTGGGCATTCCCTCCTGATTATATGGTGTTGTGCCTGGACAACACCCATTTAGATGTGGGTATTTTCTCTATCACCAATGTGCAGGAGTCAAACAACTAGTTCTGAATTTCTCTAAGAGGGAATTTCTCCATGTGGTGCTGTACATTTGTTGCATCTCTGGGAGGAGGAAAATTCAGGAACCCTCTGTATTGCCATTTTGGTAAAAAAACAAAAGAAAACAAAAACTTCCTTAGTTTCTTTATTAATTTAGTTGTTATAGATTATTCGTTTATTTTTTTTAAGATTTCATTTATTTATTTGACGGAGAGAGACACAGTGAGAGAGGGAACACGAACAGGGGAAGTGGGAGACGGAGAAGGAGGCTTCCCACAGAGCAGGGACTCTGACGCGGGGTTCAATCCCAGGACCCGGCATCATGACCTGAGCCAAAGACAGACGCTTAATGACAGAGCCACCCAGGTGCCCCTATATTTTTATTATTATTATTTTTTAATTATTTTATGTGACAAGTATTCATTCATTCATTCAATGAATGTTATTGAATACTTTTCTAGATGCTGTAACTACAGCATTGACTCAAATAGAAAGACGTTCTGGAGCACACATTTTGGTAGCAGAGGAGACAGAAATCAGTAAACACATAGCTATATTATATATTTTGTGATAAGTGCTACGAAGACAAATGTAGTCAGGGAAGGGGGATTAAGAGTGAAAAGCAAGAGTGCTCTTTATTTATTTATTTTTTAAAGATTTTATTTATTTGACAGAGAGAGACACAGCGAGAGAGGGAACATAAGCAGGGGGGGAGTGGGAGAGGGAGAAGCAGGCCTCCCGCTGAGCAGGGAGCCTGACGTGGGACTCGATCCCAGGACCCTGGGATCATGACCTGAGCCAAGGCAGACGCTTAACAACTGAGCCACCCAGGCGCCTGAGGGTGCTCTTTTATAAAAGGTCTCTGGGGAAGGTCTTTCTGGTAAGGAGATGTTTGAGTGCAGATTTGGAAGATGTGACAGAGCGTGAGGTGTGTGGATATATGGAATGAAATGGAGGGAGAGCATTCTAGGTGGCTGGAGAAGCAAGCGAAGGCCCCGAGAAACCCCTTTTTGGTTTTTCTAAAATGAGGTATGCAGGAAATTTCAGCTAATAGCTGATGGCTGTAGAAGGCTTTTCATGTGTCCTCTCTCTGGTTGGTAACATAAGATATAGAGACAGATTCATGTAGCACCTGAAATAAGCTTTATCATTCAACAATAAGTGCCAAGACTGAGGAGAGCAGGAGAAACTATTGTGTTCTCTTGATTTTTGCTGATGGCAAAAAAAAAAAAAAAAAAGGAAAAGAAAAGAAAAAAGTAATACCTTCACCTTCTTTTTGTAATCTTAAAAAGCACTGTTACGTCATGTAATCATATTTATGTTCAAAAATTTTATTTGGGGTGCCTGGGTGGCTGAGTTGGTTAAGTGTCTGCCTCCAGTTCGGGTCATGATCCCAGGGTCCTGGAATCGAGTCCCACATTGGGCTCCCTGCTCAGTGGGGAGTCTGCTTCTGCTCTCCCCTTGCTCCTCCCCTCCTGCTCATGCTCTCTCTCTCAAATAAATAAATAAATAAAATCCTTAAAAAATTTTTTTAGTCATCATTTTTATTTATATATATGTATATCTATCTATCTATCTATCTATCTGAGGAAATATGTAAACAGAATCCAGAGAGACACTATTTCATTTTACTTTGTATATGTTTTGTATAGAACAAGAGTAACATATATGAGTGGAGCTGGGAGGTAACATTAAATGAGTGAATCAGGCTCAGGCATAAAGCAGTAAGAGTCGTGGAGGAATGGCAAATTGGAGAATTTATTTACCTGTATAAAGGGAAGAGCTGTTACTTTGACTGATTGTTGCGTGTGCCTGGTTTTGAACTTATGTTCTGATTTTTCAAGAAAAGTCAGAAATTTGCATTTTATGTGCTATCTCCTGCTTTTTAAAAATGTTGGAAACTAAATAAAAACATTTGAGGACATTCTTCAGGCCAGACAGACTATTCATGTAGGTGGGAACTGTCCCTCACGTTACCAGTTTGCTGTCTTCCGGTGTACAAGATCATAAATAATTTTTATTTCTTCCTTTTCAGGGGATACTATCAATCTCATAGTAATAAATTGCTGCAAGATTTCTGACTACAAAGGATTTTAACATGTCATTGTACTCTTGCTCTCCCTGCATCATGCTGACTATGACTATTCTTACCATTTTAGGGTATGGTCAGACAGGTCCACTGTCTCAGCGAGCTGGTTATGATGCTGTTGCCTCTGCTGTTTCTGGTCTGATGCATATCACAGGGCCTGAGGTAGGTATCATTCTTTAGAATATTCATAAATTTCCCCCCTGTTTATTCCAAAGGGATTTCTCTATTAACTAACCTATAAGCTTAAGTTTGAGTTAATTTTAAGAAGAAACTAGGGAAAGTGAATTCTTATTGAAAATGGAAGTGTTTATTACAAATGTACTGGAGGTTATATGTCAATATGGCCCCATAGAAAATAACAGTTTCTATTTTAGCAAGAAGCAACAGATCAATTGACGAACACTTGATCTGTTTTTGTATTTTAATTTTGCATTTGTATTATAATTATTCAAGCTTGGTATAGGCACCTGGGTATGACTTCTGAATATTCCTTCTGTGAAGCAGAATGGCTGACTAGACCAGACTGTAGATGCCCATTTCTATCAGAGTACCTTCATGTGGCGTGTATACACAGTGGAGGGTCTCTTTTTCCCTCTGCAGTATTAATAACTAGTAATGTATTTTATTTTATTTTATTTTATTTATTTTTTATGTATTTATGTTTTATTTATTTTTTATTATTATGTTATGTTATTAACCATTAATTACATCATTAGCTTTTGATGTAGTGTTCCATGATTCATTGTTTGCGTATAACACCCAGTGCTCCACGCAGACCGTGCCCTCTTTAAGACCCATCACCAGGCTAATCCATCCTCCCACCCCTCTCCCCTCTAGAACCCTCAGTTTGTATTCCAGAGTACATCGACTCTCATGGTTCATCTCCCCCTCCGATTTCCGCCCTTCATTCTTCCCCTCCTATCTTTCTTTTTTTTTTTAACATACAATGTATAATTTTTTTCAGAGGTACAGATCTGTGATTCAACAGTCTTGCACAATTCACAGCGCTCATCATAGCACACACCCTCCCCAATGTCTATCACACAGCCACCCCATCCCTCCCACCCCACCCCCACTCCAGCAACCCTCAGTTTGTTTCCTGAGATTAAGAATTTCTCATATCAGTGAGGTCATATGATACCTGTCTTTCTCTGATTGACTTATTTCGCTCAGCATAACACCCTCCACTTCCATCCACGTCATTGCAAATGGCAAGATCTCATTCCTTTTGATGGCTGCATAATATTCCATTGTGTATATATACCACATCTTCTTTATCCATTCATCTGTCGATGGACATCTTGGCTCTTTCCACAGTTTGGCTATTGTGGACATTCCTGCTATAAACATTGGGGTGCACGGACCCCTTCGGGTCCCTACATTTGTATCTTTGTGGTAAATACCCAGTAGTGCAATTGCTGGATCGAACGGTAGCTCTAATTTCAACTGTTTGAGGAACCTCCATACTGTTTTCCAGAGGGGTTGCACCAGCTTGCATTCCCACCAACAGTGTAGGAGGGTTCCCCTTTCTCCGCATCCCCACCAACATCTGTCGTTTCCTGACTTGTTAATTTTAGCCATTCTGACTGGTGTGAGGTGGTATCTCATTGAGGTTTTTATTTGGATTTCCCTGATGCCGAGCGATGTTGAGCACTTTTTCATGTGTCTGTTGGCCATTTGGATGTCTTCTTTGGAAAAATGTCTGTTCATGGCTTCTGCCCATTTCTTGATTGGATCATTTGTTCTTTGGGTGTTGAGTTTAAGAAGTTCTTTATAGATTTTGGATACTAGCCCTTTATCTGATATGTCATTTGCAGATATCTTATCCCATTCTGTTGGTTGTTTTTTGGTTTTGTTGGCTGTTTCTTTTGCTGTGCAAAAGCTTTTCATCTTGAAGAAATCCCAATAGTTCATTTTTGACCTTGCTTCCCTTGCCTTTGGCGATGTTTCTAGGAAGAAGTTGCTGCGGCTGAGGTCGAAGAGGTTGCTGCGTGTGTTCTCCTTTAGGATTTTGATGGCTTCCTGTCTCACATTTAGGTCTTTCAACCATTTGGAGTCTATTTTTGTGTGTGGTGTAAGGAAATGGTCCAGTTTCATTCTTTGGCATGTGGCTGTCCAGTTTTCCCAACACCATTAGTTTTTTAAAAAAGGGATTGATAAGATGTTGGTTGAAAAAGGGAAAAAGAAAAATTGAAAAATGAAAAAAAAGAGTTAAAAAAATTAACTTTGAAAGACTAAAGAATCATGGGGAAAAAAGCCATGGATTCTGTGTGCAGTATTCCCCTAGTGCTGGAGTTTTGCCGTTCTCATTGATCGGTAAACTTGGTCTTGGCTGGCTGTTCTTGCTGCTCTTCTGGGGCAGGGGCCTGTTGCCGTGGTTCCCAAATTCCTTTGCCGGAGGCGGAATTGCCCCGCCCTTGCCGGTCCGGGCTAAGTAATCTGCTCGGGTTTGCTCTCAGGAGCTCTTGTTCCCTGCAAGCTTTTGGTACAGCTTTGGAGGAGGAGAGTGAAAATGGGAGGCCTCCTGATCTCTGCCATGGAGGAGCCGAGAACTCGGGGCCCCACTCCTCAGTGCACCCTCAGAGAAAAGCAGTCACTCCCGTCTCCCCGGTCTCCGGCCGCACTCTGTGCTCACCCGGCCTGTGACTGAGCGTTTCTATCTCTGGCACCCGACCCCGTGTGGAGTCTCCAAACCCAGCAGATCCCTGCGGTGCGCTCCCACGCCACTCCTCCCAGAGGAGGAAGGGGAGTCTCTCTGGATCTGCCTCTTGTTGGGTCCCTGCTGGAGGAGCAGTGGCCCGATTGGGCCACGGATCACAGTTCATGGCAACCCTGAGCTGAGAGCCCGCGCCTCGGCTCCGTCTCTGCTTCCGGCTTCCCCGCTCCGATACCTGGGAGCTCTGCCACACTCAGGCACCCCCAGTCTTTCTGTGACCCCGAGGGTCCTGAGACCACACTGTCCCAGTGAGGGTCCCACTTCCTCCTTAGCCACTGGAGCGACGTCCCTTAGTGGAGCCGACTTCTAAAAGTTCCGATTTTGTGCTTCGCGGCTCTAGCACTTGCCAGAAGCGGCCGACAGAGGCCCCCTCCCCCACCATCTATCCTCCCGAATATCGCCTCAGATTCACCTCTCCGTACGTCCTACCCTCCAGAAAGTGGTCGCTTTTCTGTTCAGAGAGTTGTTGCTATTCTTTAATTTGATCTCCTGTTGAGTTTGTGGGTGTTCAGAATGGTCTGATCCCTATTCAGCTGAATTCCTGGGACCAGACGAAATCCAGGTCTCCTACTCCTCTGCCATCTTGCTCCTCCCTTCACTGGTAATGTATTTTAAAATTTGTTACTTAAAGCCTCAGGTGGAGTTGTGTCTGATTGTTATATACATTAGCTTCTGACAGTGGGAGAATTCTTTGATTTTATAGGAATCTCTCTTTATTAATAATAGGTAGGGAATTTCCTAAAAAGTATACAGATGGCTAAAATGTGTTTGCTTGCATTGAAGACTCTTAGGGAATGGACTCTTTGAGAAAACAGTAAGAATGGCATGATAGTTAAAGGAAAGTGTGAGAGCCTAATAAATAAAAATAATGAAAGACACTCATTTCCAAAACAGCTTGGATTGGTAGGTGTAAAAAACTTTTTCCACTTAGGTGTTCCTTCCTCGAATCACTTGCGTCAGTGAGTTCTTTAGGAAATACGGCTGTGGTTCTGGGATGAATGGAGGCAGAGGGACTTCAAATCTTTTGCAGCCTTTACTTCTTTTTGTTAATTTTAAAGCAGCTTGTGGGATGTTGGTGGCTTGAAATATAAGTATTTGTACTTTCATTGTCTGTTTCATGTTTGTGAGTCTATGAAAAAAATGTGTGACTCTTCCTTAAAATATTTAAGGGTGCCGGCTTTCTTTCCATCCACTGGGAGAGTGGAGCATGGATCTCTCTCTGCTCTATCCCATAGAAGTGCTTGTGTGTACAAGACATGATTATTGTGAGCGGTTTTATTTTAAGAGTGCTGAACTCAACCGTGAATATGTGAAAAGATCTTGGGCTGTTAAATTTGTATATTCACGTGTTAAAATGAATTAGCTCAGCAACCGCTGTTGTGATGGATTACTGTGGTTCCTTTACTCTGCTGCGCTCTGCCCTGATGGGGTTAACCACACAGTGGTCATTTGTCAGTCACTCACAGCCTTTCTCTCTTCTGTTATCCTACTTGGGAGATTTTTGTCCCTAGCTAAGCACATGATGACAGCATTGAGTGGGTGCTTACTAGGTGCCCAGCACTATTTTGTAGAGTTTACATGTATTAAGTAAACTTAACTTCTATACACCGTATTTCTTTCACATGGACACACCCTTACTTCTTAATTCATTGATCCAGTGATTATTATTACTGTTATTATTATCCAGTGGTTATTGCACATACTCCTTCTGTAAGCTGGGAACTGGCAGGGACTGGCCATACAGCGGGCGATGGGGTAGGCACAGTCCTTAAGTGGAGAAACAAACATTAACAGAAAATAAACATTAGCTACAAATAAAAAGATCTTTGAAAAAGGGCTCAGTATCCTATTAATGTATGTCACAGTGTGCCTCAGACCATTATCATACTTCCAAAGTTCTCTGCAAAATGCTGTTTGACAGCCAGGGATAAAAGCAGAAGTGAAGAGAATTGTGCCATGTTGGGAGTTGCCCTTAATAGAACTCCCTGTTATCAGCAATGCATTATACCTTGGCAGAGGAGGGATCACTTCTGAAAGCCCTGGCTAATATTGTCAGTTAACCAATGCGGATGCATTATTGCTAGTTATATCATGCTGCTTGTGAACTTTTATCGACCCACGCAGCTGTGTATTTGTGTTGGAGCATAACTCCATCTTGTCAGATGACTGATTGGAACCCAGGCTTCTCCATCATTTATCATTATCTCGAGGCTTCACCACATCACTCTTTACAGTGCAGCCCACTCTCACTAGGATGGATGGTCAGGGAGGGCTTCTCTGAGTACCAGACGTTTAAGGTGGAACCCAGTTAGGCATTAGGGTGGTGACCAGAGGGCATCACCATGCATGGTGTCTAACTGCTGGGGATTCTGGTAGGTTTGAGGAAACAAAGGATTGCCAGTGTCACTGGATTGTTCTAAGCTGGCAAAGAAAGGAGATAATTAAG